CGGTTTCAGCCCGATCCCGCAGGCCAGGCCGAGGGACCCCACCGGTGCATGAATTCGTGCACCGGGCCTCTCATTAAAAATGAATGAAAATGAATGTTTGCAACACGATGGGGTCCATGAGCCCGTTACACAAACCAAGTCAGACACACCCCCACCCCCTCCAGCTTCCGGCAGCCGCCTCTCACCCGCAGCTCCCTGAGCTGTTCCTTGAAAGGAAGCTGTGGCGAGGGTCCCACCGCCCCGCGGGGAGGCGGGGAGGCGGGGAGCCAGGCGGGGAGCCCCACTGACCTGTCATGGAGTTCTCCGAGGTGCACAGCTGCTCCCGCAGCTTCTCCACGTCGTCGGGGTGCACCTGCTCGTACAGGGTGCTGCCGAACCACTCGGACTGCGGCTGGTTCAGCACGGGCGTGACCGAGTCCGACACGTAGATCACCCGCCCCGTCTCGGCCGCCACCACGAACAGAAACCCGTCGGCCGCCTCCAGGATGAGGTGCTTCAGTTCCTGGGAAGGGAAGGCGGCGTCAGGGAAAAGCAGGCCCCCCCTCACCCCGCCGCCAATTTGATTTCCCTCTTTTCTTTCTCTTTCACAGATTCGTATTGATCTCAGAGAGGAAGGGAGAGGGAGGGAGCGAGAGAAGCATCCACGATGAGAGAGAATCATGGATCGGCGGCCTCCTGCACGCCCCCCACTGGGGATGGAGCCCCCAACCCGGGCCTGTGCCCTGACCGGGAATCGAACCCTGACCTCCTGGTTCCTAGGTCGACGCTCAACCACTGAGCCACGCCGGCCGGGCCACTTTCGTTTGCTTATTGGCAACCTTCAACATTCTCTCAGAAACTTGTCCTGTCCACATAGTTTTGGAAACTGATTGCTTTTTCTTAAGAAGTTATTTTGTCTTTAAAAAAAATTTTTTTTGTAATTTATTGACTTGAGAGATAGAGGAAGAGATGGAGGGGGAAGAGAGAGGGAGAAAGAGAGAGAGAGATGGATTTTGTTGTTCCACTTATTTGTACATTCATTGGTTGAGTCCTCTATGTGCTCTGACTGGGGATCCAAGCTGCCACCTTGATGTATTGGGGGACAATGCTCTCATCAACTGAGCTACCTGGCCAGGGTTTGATGGCTTTTTTTTTTTTTAAATACTAGAGGCCCGGTGCACGAAATTTGTGCACTCATCAAGCTGCCACCTTGATGTATTGGGGGACAACACTCTCATCAACTGAGCTACCTGTCCAGGGTTTGATGGCTTTTTTTAAAAAAAATACTAGAGGCCCGGGGCACGAAATTCGTGCACTCGGGGGGGGGCGCCCTCAGCCTTGCCTGTGCCCTCTCACAGTCCGGGAGCCCTCAGGGGATGTCCGACGGATGGCTTAGGCCCACTGTCTGTGGGGAGCGGGCCTAAGCCAGCAGTCGGACATCCTTAGCGCTGCTGCAGAGGTGGGAGAGGCTCCCGTCACCTCCGCTGCGCTCACCAGCCATGAGCCCAGCTTCTGGCTGAGTGGCACTCCCCCTGTGGGAGCGCACTGACCACCAGGGGGCAGCTCCTACATCGAGCGTCTGCCCTCTGGTGGTCAGGGCGCATCATAGCGACCGGTTGTTCGGCCGCTCGGTCTATTTGCATATTAGCCTTTTATTATATAGGGTATTTTTATTGATTTCAGAGAGGAAGGGAGAGGGAGAGAGAAACATCCATGATGAGAGAGAATCACAGATCGGCTGCCTCCTGCACGCCCCCCACTGGGGTTCGAGCACGCAACCCGGGCATGAGCCCGCAGCCTGGGGCCCTGCCCCGTGTCCGTCCCCAAGGACTAGAACCCGTGGCCCTGCTGGCGAGGGGGCCTGGGGGGCTCCCTAAGGGTCCCTGTGCCCGTGACGGGGTCAGACTCCGACACCCCCGCCTGGGAACGGAGGCGGAAGTGGGCCTGGAAGGACAGGGTTACTGGGCCCGTTTCTCCGGCTCCGCACGTCCGCCTCCTGGGTGTCCCGGACGCCGACGGCCCGCAGCCTGGGGCCCTGCCCAGCGTCCGTCCCCAAGGACTAGAACCAGTGGCCCTGCTGGCGAGGGGGCCTGAGGGCTCCCTAAGGGTCCCTGCGCCCGTGACGGGGTCAGACTCCGACACCCCCGCCTGGGAACGGAGGCGGAAGTGGGCCTGGAAGGACAGGGTTACTGGGCCCGTTTCTCCGGCTCCGCACGTCCGCCTCCTGGGTGTCCCGGACGCCGACATAACCCACAGCCCGGGGTCAGCATCTTTATTTCCAGCTTCGGGCCCATCCTCCCGGCAGGAAGGGGGGTGGACATCGGCACAGGGTGCCTGGGAAAGGAGACGATCCCGCCGCTGCGGGGAGGAGGCGGGGCGCACGCCGCCATTGAGGTCTCCCAGTCTCAGCCCGTGGGAAGGTCTCCGGGGACAGAGCCTCGCTCAGAGGCCCCCACCCACCACCTCCTCCCCATTCCTGTCTCCTGGGAGCACAGCGCCCACGATCGAGGTCCCGCACCTGGAAATCAGAACTGCCTTTGACCCCAGCCGGTGTGGCTCAGTGGATAGAGCATCGGCCTGCAGACTGAAGGGTCCCGGGTTCGATTCCGGTCAAGGGCACAGGCCCGGGTTGCGGGCTCGATCCCCAGTGTGGGGCGTGCAGGAGGCAGCTGATCAGTGATTCTCTCTCCTCATGGATGTTTCTCTCTCTCTCTCCCTCTCCCTTTCTCTCTGAGATCAAGAAAAATATATTTAATTAAAAACAAAAAAAGCCATCAAACCCTGCCCAGGTAGCTCAGTTGATGAGAGCATTGTCCCAATACATCAAGGTGGCAGCTTCGATCCCCAGTCAGAGCACATCCAGGACTCAACCAATGAACGTACAAATAAGGGAACAACAAAATCCATCTCTCTCATCCTAACCGGTGAGGCTCAGTGGATAGCGCGTCGGCCTGTGGACTGAAGGGTCCTGGGTTCGATTCCGGTCAAGGGCATGGACCTTGGTTGCGGGCACATCCCCAGTGGTGGGTGTGCAGGAGGCAGCTGATCGATGTTTCTCTCTCATCGATGTTTCTAACTCTCCATCCCTCTCCCTTCCTCTCTGTAAAAAATCAATAAAACATATTTTTTTAAATCCATCTCTCTCTCTCTCTTTCTCTCTCTCTCCCCCTCCATCTCTTCCTCTCTCTCCCAAGTCAATAATTACAAAAAAAAATTTTTTTAAAAACAAAATAACGTCTTAAGAAAAAGTAATCAAAGTTTCCAAAACTACGTGGATATCACAAGTTTCTGAGAGAATGTTGAAGGCTGCCAATAAGAAAACGGAACTGGCCCGGCCGGCGTGGCTCAGGGGCTGAGCGTCAGCCTAGGAACCAGGAGGTCAGGGTTCGATTCCCGGTCAAGGGCATGTGCCCGGGTTGGAGGCTCCATCCCCAGTGTGGGGCGTGCAGGAGGCAGCCAGTCCGTGATTCTCTCTCCTCACTGATGTTTCTATCTCTCTCTCCCTCTCCCTCTTCCTTCCTCTCTGACATCAGTAAAAACATATTTTTACAGAAAAGGCCCACAGGAGCCACGCAAACAGAGGAGCCAGGCCGGACCCACAGCCCCCGACGGGACGTTCCCGGTGAAGCGCGAGGACGGGGTGTGTCCCCTCGGTCCATCCCTCCCTCCGCCCTGAGCCCCAGGTCCCTGGCCGCTGGGACAGCACCTGCTCGGTGAGGAAGGACGGCTTGTAGGCGCCGTCGGTGGACTTGTTGCCGGTGCCGCGCATGGACTTCATGTGGGAGACGGCCATGCGCAGGATGGTCAGCTTGTCGGGCTTGCGGGCCAGCGCGCTGCAGGTGGGCACCATGTCCGACAGCTCCGTGATGTACTGCGTCATCTTGTTCCGCCGCCGCCGCTCGATCTCACTGTGGTTCTCTCTTCCCAGCAGGAAGCGGGCGGGGGGGCGGGGGGAGAGAGAGGCGTCAGACCGGGCGGTGGCCAGGCCGCAGGAGGGCACACGGGGCCCATGGGTGACACCCGAGAGAGCTTTGTGGGGGTCTCTGGGGGGCACAGGCTCCCCAACACCTGAGTGAGCTTTGTGGGGGCCTCTGGGGGGGCACAGGCTCCCCGACACCTGAGAGAGCTTTGTGGGGGTCTCTGGGGGGGCAGAGCGGCTCCCCAACACCTGAGTGAGCTTTGTGGGGGCCTCTGGGGGGGCACAGGCTCCCCGACACCTGAGAGAGCTTTGTGGGGGTCTCTGGGGGGGCAGAGCGGCTCCCCAACACCTGAGTGAGCTTTGTGGGGGCCTCTGGGGGGGCACAGGCTCCCCGACACCTGAGAGAGCTTTGTGGGGGTCTCTGGGGGGGCAGAGCGGCTCCCCAACACCTGAGTGAGCTTTGTGGGGGCCTCTGGGGGGGCACAGGCTCCCCGACACCTGAGAGAGCTTTGTGGGGGTCTCTGGGGGGGCAGAGCGGCTCCCCAACACCTGAGTGAGCTTTGTGGGGGCCTCTGGGGGGGCACAGGCTCCCCGACACCTGAGAGAGCTTTGTGGGGGTCTCTGGGGGGGCAGAGCGGCTCCCCAACACCTGAGTGAGCTTTGTGGGGGCCTCTGGGGGGGCACAGGCTCCCCGACACCTGAGAGAGCTTTGTGGGGGTCTCTGGGGGGGCAGAGCGGCTCCCCAACACCTGAGTGAGCTTTGTGGGGGCCTCTGGGGGGGCACAGGCTCCCCGACACCTGAGAGAGCTTTGTGGGGGTCTCTGGGGGGGCAGAGCGGCTCCCCAACACCTGAGTGAGCTTTGTGGGGGCCTCTGGGGGGGCACAGGCTCCCCGACACCTGAGAGAGCTTTGTGGGGGTCTCTGGGGGGGCAGAGCGGCTCCCCAACACCTGAGTGAGCTTTGTGGGGGCCTCTGGGGGGGCACAGGCTCCCCGACACCTGAGAGAGCTTTGTGGGGGTCTCTGGGGGGGCAGAGCGGCTCCCCAACACCTGAGTGAGCTTTGTGGGGGCCTCTGGGGGGGCACAGGCTCCCCGACACCTGAGAGAGCTTTGTGGGGGTCTCTGGGGGGGCAGAGCGGCTCCCCAACACCTGAGTGAGCTTTGTGGGGGCCTCTGGGGGGGCACAGGCTCCCCGACACCTGAGAGAGCTTTGTGGGGGTCTCTGGGGGGGCAGAGCGGCTCCCCGACACCCGAGAGAGCTTTGTGGGGGCCTCTGGGGGACACAGGCTCCCCAACACCTGAGTGAGCTTTGTGGGGGCCTCTGGGGGGGCACAGGCTCCCCGACACCTGAGAGAGCTTTGTGGGGGTCTCTGGGGGGGCACAGGCTCCCCAACACCCGAGTGAGCTTTGTGGGGGTCTCTGGGGGGCACAGGCTCCCCAACACCTGAGTGAGCTTTGTGGGGGTCTTTGTGAGGGCGTTGGGGGGCACAGGTTCATCTAAATACCCTGAAATCCTCTCACGTTCCCATGAACCTAGCGACTTTGCAGTAGCATCAAGAATTCAGACACTGTCCCCGCGGCCGGCGTGGCTCAGTGGTCGAGCGTCGACCTGTGAACCAGGAGGTCAGGGTTCGATTCCCGCTCAGGGCACAGGCCCGGGTTGCGGGCTCCATCCCCAGTGTGGGGCGTGCAGGAGGCAGCCGGTCCATGACCCTCTCTTATTAATGTTTCTCTCTCTCTCTCTCTCCCTCTCCCTTCCTCTCTGAGATCAATTTTTAAAAAAAGAAGTCCCTTCTCCTGGCAGGAGACAGCCGGAAGCCGACTCCACGCCCCTCGCCCGGGCAGCAGCCACGGCCACGGCAAAGCCACCAGGTGTGGACGTGTCCCCAACTCTGAGCAGCTCCATCAACCACCCCGCAGGCCAGAGCGAGGTGGCCCCGCTCCTACAATCTCAACCTTGGGAAGCCCGTCCCTCTTTCTCTTTCTCATTTTTTTAAAATATATTTTTACTGATTTCAGAGAGAAAGAGAGAGAGAAACATCCACGATGAGAGAGAATCACGGACCGGCTGCCTCCTGCACACCCCAC